AGAACAAAGTTTGAGTCCAGTAGACTCAATTTAATTTCATGATTAAAATCCTTTAAAATTAATCAGGTGCAATTGTACACAGTTAGTCCAGTCAAAGCCCCCTAAAGTCTTTAGACAGGACTCCACTGTAAACTTGCATTTATATATTATATATATAAAAATAAATAAAAATACCATCCTGAAAATCTAGTATTACTTGACCCAAGGTACTTTCTCCATAAGAGTTCACCATCCCTTTTACAAAAATTGCAACAATTATCAATCTATAGCCAAGCAATACAAGCACGCTGTTAACAATACACATTGGAACACAGAAAAATAATTGTGTACTTAAAACAAAAGCTTTCTACGTAGACTGTCTGGTAATTTATATCAAAAAAGGCCAAATATCACTATAATAATAGTCTACCTCCCCACATGGATAATTAAAGCAGTACACAGTGCCCATCACAACAAAGAGATGGGGGTGTTTCTAATTATATGGGGGCCAATTCCTCAGGTATGCAAACCCCCCCACACATCTAACGAATAACTGGGGGGAAAGCCTAAAAGAGCAGCGTGATAAGTACTGAAAATGTTCCAGGAGGGACAGAATGAGAGCAGCTAGCTAAAAGAAAAAGGAGAAAATAGCTTTTCCCCATAAGCTGAAAGAATCTTGAAAGGGGAGATTGAGGGGTGAGCTTCCAGCTTGTTAAAACTAAACAGATGAGTAACTAAGGACAGCCTTAATCATCCAAGAGTTCAGTTGTGAAATAACTGATAACCAGCAACCTCATTTACAACAGTTTATTATACAGATCATACTTCCTTTTCAGAGTCAGTTTATTCATGTATGTATTTCCACATCTGATTTCAGTGTGACTCAGTGCCTAGGGGATACTCTTCCAGATGATGGCTGAGGCAGCCTGAATTTCGAAAGCTCAACATCATAATTCACAAAGGTGAAAGGTGTATACTCATGATGTTCCAAGTTCTTGTAGGTTGAAATGTCAATTGCTTCTTGGGCAGTTTCAACTGCTGCCTTAGCTTCTACAAAGGAAAAAAAAAAGATTAAATGCTTGTGAATCCAGGGGCAAACACAGAGAGACAGATTCTTTCTGGTAGAGTGGAGATTCCTTACTTATTCTGTAACTGGAGGCAGTTACTAACCACTGATATTTTACACAAGAAGAAACTTCAGTATTAAAGAAGAGAACCTGAACACAAAATAAACTTAAATTATATATAATAAATATGTGTACACCATGTTACAAATGACAAAGAACATTAACTTCTATTGACTTCCTGACTATCCTTGCATGTTTCCGATCAGGAACTGTAATGCTAGGATTCAAAAGCAGAATGTGCCCATGAGACACACCCATCCACACAACATTTTGGTTTTGGTTTTTGTCACAGTAGTTATCCCTGGAATGAGGTGAGATACTTTTGAAATGTTCTGCCTTCAGTTCCAAGGTCCCTGGCTACAATTTTGCACGCTATGTCATATAGCGGCTCTACAGCCTTCAAACCAGAGAGGTAGGTCTGCAGTTCTTTTTCCCCTCCTTTGGTACTGAACCAGAATCATAAATGCTGCCCTGTCATGTAATCAGAACACTAAGATTGCCACGAAACATTAAGTAGTGTCAGTTAGGTTGTGTTTACTTTGTACATGACATTTCTTTAAATCATCTACCAGTTGCAAAGTGAGAAACCATTAACATTCCAATCAGTCTATATGGCTGAGTGTCTCCAGAAATGCTGCTTTCTTATTTATTCCTTGCAAATAAGCCATTATTAATGAAAGGATTTTTAATGCGTTTAAATCTCATTTAAGAACTGCTTCTCTCCAGCTCTGATTGCTAGT